CTACGGTAAAGTGAAATATTTCCGTCACTGAACATTATGAAATCAGATGATTTGACGATTTGTATGCAGGCATTAGTATCAACCCCTCATCTTAAGATAATTTTAATATAAATAATATATTCACAGTATTAACAGCTGGAGGAGCTTACATCAAGTGCAATGAGACAGTTTAGTAGAAGATGTGGACATTAGACAGCGCAATGTATTCTCACATAAGAGCTAAAAGATGGGCGTGTACAATTTTTGGACGATGTCATAGCAAAAGTCCACTCCCAACGAGAAAGATCCCATCAAACATTTCCTTCCCCCTTCGTGTGAGTCCATCTCTCTCAGTGAAGACATCTGAGTTCTGCTACGAGTCGCTGATTAACACCACCGCTCTTTTGTTTTCAAATGTCCACAGTTGAAAACGAAATTAAGAAGCGAGAGATAGAAGCTAATAGCATTTATTAACCCAGCATGAGCGGGCAGTGGGACAACCGCTGCCCTCCACCGTCCCTGTCTGTCTGGTCCTGGTGGCTGGAGTCAGTGCGGCCGAGGGACAGGGGAGTGGAACATAATAAAAGCCAGCGAATGCACCCAGCTGATTAATGCAGCCCTGTGGCTATAGTAATTATCCCTCTCCGCACTCCTCCAGCAGACGAGCCAAACAAGTGTGTGGCAGTGAGAGTGTGCAAATGATGGATCTGTGGGATTCGGGCTCTGTTTAGTGAGCTTCATGAAAGTATTTAAGGACACACTTTATTGATTCGACTACAGATATGAAGTTCAAGCTTTTACTCTTTCATTTTCGTTGGTTACCATCTGCAATATTTAAGTCATCTTTGTATTTTAAGTTTACAAGGTTTTTGCTTCATATCTGTGAGTAGATGATAACATGCTGGTTCAATTTCATTTAGGGATCACAACACTCCACAACGTGAACAATACCATCTTAATACATGCACTACATTAGTAGAGAGTAAACCAAAATTAATAAATGAATACACAGTAGATTAATAGCCCAAGAGCACCTTGACCTCAGAGAGTCCGCCTTATTTTTCTCACCTTTAACATAACATTTAAATTGCTCTAGCTGATAATAAAAAGCTTATAATGAAATGATTTCCAGAAAGATGCAACACAGCACGATCAGACTCGGAATATCTTCTTCTATTGGTTTACATATATTATAAATAGATGGAGTTGTGCACCTTGTTTTCTCAATGAACATATATTTTAATTAAATAAGAGCAAGCAATATGACTATCACTAAATATTAACAATACTTCTTTGTTATATCTCACTTCATAGACCTGTACAGGATAAGATGATGTGATGAATATTAATCTGCAGCTGCTTTTTATCCTCATCAATGCTTCTACTTAGCTTTGACCAAAATACATCTAATTTTAATGAAATCACACTTTGCACCGTTTTAATTTTCTCTAAGAGATGATTTAAACAAACCACTTGAATAAAACCAAAATTTAATTCTACGACTAATAAACTGAAAATACAACATTTACTGAATCTAATTTAAAGAAAATGACTTGTTTTCCTTTATTCTCCCATAAACCTTGTATAGTTCATTTGTGCATTTCAGTGATTCTTTTTAAAAATAACTGTCGGTTCTTTGATGAAAGCAGCTAAAGGTCATGTGATGACTTCATTAAAAAACAGAGAAGTGGCTGTTGTACCAGTCGTGTTTGGTTGATGTGAAATATGGGTCAGATAAACCTTTACTGCCGTCAGATTCATTGCAAATTATACGGCTCAATAATTCACACAAAATCATTTTCTTTTAATTTGTGTTTTTTCTCTATATTTTTTTTAAAACATGAAATATTGATAAAGCTGCAGAAACAAGTCAGACCATATTCAATATAAGCTATAAGTTTTATACACACACACTCACACAAACAAACAAACATATATATATATAAGTGTGTGTTCCTTTTATTCGGTTTAAGCATTTTGTTGTTAAAAGTTGTCAACAGTTGAGTCGTCAGCGCACAGTTCGGAGGAGAACACAGTGAGCTTCCTGCTGAGCCTCCAGCAGCACGTGATACACAGTCTCTGTGCTGAGGTCAGGAGGTCGGACATAAAAGACCAGTTTGCTCATGAATCAGGAATTTAATTACACACAGCCAGTGTCACGGGGAGTCTGTGTCGCTCAACCCTGCACAATATGTAATTACTACATATTGACAGATAACGATTGGTTCTTCTTCACTTTTCAGAAACAAGCTGCCGGTTCGCACAGACAGTTAAATCCCAGTGTTCCTGATCTGCTTCAGGAAACGTTTACAACTTGGGTTTTATGTGTTTTTATTCCGTAGTGCGCACACATATTCAATTGTGCATACAAGTCTGCATTTTACTCCAGAAATACACCCAAGTCTGTTTAATATTCAGTGATTCTCAGCGAAATTAAAGCCGTATGCAGAGACACTGGAGACAGGGAATGAAAAAAACAAACAGCAAAACTATTATAAAGACATTTAACTGCTGTCTCAAAATGCACAGTGGTGAGATCCCACACCGGCTGTGATCTGCTTAAAGAAATACACTCTTGGTCATAAAGCTGAAAATCTGTTTTGCTTAAATACAGACTTAATGATTGGATTACCGTTTCTTCGTTTGGAGATGGCGTGATAGTGGGATTACAGACTGTGCGCTCAATAGATTTCCTGTCAGATGCCATGAAACCCAGTGTCCCCTCGCTGGGTAAGCTGGTCGTCCGAGAGGGAGGGAGGCAGATCAGGCTTGGACGTGCAATATGGTCCACCTCAGGAACGAGAACAACAGAAGTGGAGAAGGGAAATTAAATGTGAATTCTTTAAAAGGTGAGAAAAAACACACATTGACACGTGAGAATGTACATTTAAATATTTTTTTTTTCTTTAATTAGCTCTGAAACTTCCTCTAGCTGAGATAATTTCACTAATGGAATCTTCAGAACTGAAAGCAAAACATTTCATCTTTATTTAATCAACGTCTGCTCCACTAATGTAAAATCATACATGTCATCCGAAACAATTAGTATCCCTCTTTTCTTTCTGCCTCATTAAAAACATAAGCATATCTCCTTTATTGATTATGTCTGGATGTCTTAATCAGATCAGCAGGAATACCCTGTTTTTTTCCCCCTTCGCAGGAAAGTACATTAAATGTCAAAATATTGATCAAAAACTTAATTCAGAATGCACAGCTCCTTTTATTAAAGCAATCACCCCATGCTCCCGTGACTCTGATACAGACTGACATGAAAAGAAAACGTTCAAATTCATAATTCCTTTTTTTATTATTATTATTTAAAAGACGGTTGGGAAGCAGAGTATGTGCTGAGGCTGCTGGCGACACGGCAACGCTGTGATCAATAAGAGCGTGTGATGGGTTTTGTATCGATCAGGAAAATGTGGGTTGATGAAGTGGGTTGGGGTGTGTGTGTGTGTGTGTGTGTGTGTGTGTGTGTGTGTGTGTGTGTGTGTGTGGAGGGGGGGGTTACTTCTTCTTCTCTGATGGCTGCCACATTACGCAGACGTGGTAAAGGTGCACTCAGACTTTTTCTGTCGTCGTCATTATTAACATTCCTGTTGAGGTCATTATCGCTTTGCGTTTCCTACACCCGGCCTCTGTGGGGATTGGTGGATGCCCCCCCCCTCTCCGCGGTTTGATTGGTGAAATGCTGTGGGAAGCAGCTGCCATTAGTTTAACGGAGGGCGAGCTGTGGAGAGGCAGATCCGTGGAGGAGAGGATGAACGAGTGAAGGAAAGAGTTTGCCTCTGTAAGCTGGCACTGAGCCCTTTAAAGACCTGTTTAAATCATTCTCAGTGACATGCTGCAACTCTCTCCCTCTCTCCCTCCCTCTCTCTCTCTCTCTCTCTCTCTCTCTCTAGCTAATCTTTCTATCTACTACCTATCTATGTTTTTATCTTTCTCTCTTTATATCTATCTATCTATCTATGTTTTTATCTTTCTCTCTTTCAATTTATCTACCTATCTATCCATACCTGATCTTTGTTTTATCTAACTATCTATCCACAGTATCTGTCTATCTCTCTATCTATCTTTTCATCCTTTTATCTATCTATCTATCTATCAATATCTGAGCTTATCTCTCTCTATCTCTATCTATCTATCTATCTATCTATCTATCTATCTATCTATCTATCTATCCATCCATATCTGATTTTATCTATCTATCTGTCTCTCTATTTCTCTATCTCTCTATCTGTATCTGATCTTTGTTTTATCTATCTATCTATCTATCTATCTATCTATCTATCTATCTATCTACCAGTGTTTTGGGGGTCTCTGTCTGTTTCTATGTTTTGCAGCACTCCCTTGTGAATGACTGGACACTGACTGGTCGTCCACTGGCCCGTCCCCCCAGAGTATCCCTGCATCCCCATTGGTTCCTCTCAGGACATCCCTCCTGAATCCGACCAATAGCAGCAGCTCCATATGCACCAAACCACACCCTCCCGCTCTTAAAGAGCCCCCATGTCTTCAATGGAGACTCAATCCCCTCACTGACTTACTCAGCCTGAGTGCGCTCTCGCCACTGCTGCTCTTCATCCATCTATCTCTTATCTTTTATCCTCTCGCTCCCTCTATCCATCACTCCTCTGACTTTTATTCTTTCTCCTCCTCTGCACGCTCTCGTCCTGTTTCCTCTCTCCTACCTCAGGTTCTTCTTCCTTCTCTCCTCTTTGTGTATCATCACTAAATCCACTCTTCTTCTCTCCACACAAGCCTGAGTGTGCAGCACCTGTACAGACTGGAGTTTGTCGGCCGAGGCACAAGGTTTTTTTTAATTATTATTGTGTGTGTGTGAGTGTGTGTGTGTGTGTTGAACAGTGGAAGGAGGGGAGACAACACCCAGGAACACCTGAGCAACATTTCATCAAGATATGTGGAGACTTAGGAACTGATCTCCCCCCTTCAGCTTTTTCCCCAAGCTGTTTGTTTATCTGCTTTTTCATTGCAACACCTGGAATGCTTAACGTGGACTGATGGATGTTTCCGAACTCTGCATCCCTGACCCTCTCTGCTACCACAACCAGTAGGTGCATCTCTTTCTGCATCCTTTTTCTTCTCTTTCCATCTTAGGTGACACAAATCCATTTACTTCTTGATCTTTATTTAAATTTAAAAGGACAGAACCAATCATAAGAAAAATCGATTTCATTAATTTCTTTAAAAATAAAATCTCGTACATGAAGTGAACTCTTTGAAAAGGCAGGGAGTTCCTCGCAGTGCTCTCAGCTCCACCTCCCTGTGTACGGGACGGCCGAGCTCGGTGAGTGAGTGGGGCTGCGGTAGCGTAGCCCGCAGGGAGTCCAGGTCGGGTGGCTGCCCTACAGCTGTCTAGCTCTGCAGGATCCATGGGTTTAACCTCAGCCACAGGGAAGAGCCAGAGGCAGATTAATGTGGACGATATCCAGACGACTGTCCTCTGGCAGCAGCTGATGTCCAGTGGTGTCCCACAGAAAGAAAACTTTGACCGTGCTGTTGTCCAGTGTGTGTGTGTGAAGTGTGTGTGTGTGTGTGAAGTGTGTGTGTGTGTGTTTGAGAAAGATTGTATTCTTTAGAGACAAATAGATCATATTCAATATTTATCTGTGTAAAGTTAAACCTTTCCTAACTTTTATGTTGTTTAATATTTCGTGCTAAACTTAATTAGTTTACGCAGAATTTACCTTCATAGGGAGCTTTGGGATAATCTAAAGGGACAGTGTGTGCAAAGAAAACTCTGTTAATTGTACTTAAATTAGATGAGATGGTGCACGGTTTGCACACACACATTGTAATTTTGCATTAAGTCAATAAGTGTACATTTAGCAGGAGTGGTGAAATCAGAGAAAGTCTCAGATCTGAGCTGGTTGGTTATGGGTCAGTGTTTCAGGGCTTCACTCGTTGCATACCTGGAGAGATGCTCCTCTATTAACCAAGTGACCTGAGGTGGAGACCCCTCACTGGGATCCTCTTAATGTTAAGCTGAAGATGGGATTGGAGGAAAGCTTTAACCAAGCTTAGCACTTTTTACAGCACGATGATTAGGAATATTTTAAACTCCACAAGACACTCTGCGAATGAAAGAAGACTTCTGTAATGATTTAGTGCAGTTTAAAGCTGCATCTGAGCTGCTACTCTACAAAGTGAATTAACTTCAGCCAGTGTTTGCTATCGCAAGAGAAATGCTGAAACATTTATCCAAATCAAGTATTTACAACGGTTAGTAAAAGTCTAGTAGCTTTTACATACACTGCAGAATTCTCGTACCATGTTAACATGCGTACCTTGTTGATTTCACATTCTTTTATATGGTTGTATTTTAGATTGTTGCACTAAAGCAACAAATGGAAATGTAAATCTTGACATTTCAAACTGTTTACACAGAGCATTAAAATGTAGCGTGCACATAATGTCAGGAAGTGCAAACATTTTATTTAATTAGCACAATGAAATGAATTACACGTTAATTTCTCAGTGAATAATGTTTAACCACAAGTATTAAATAGAAATAGTTTGTTTTAGTGTGTTTTAAATATATCAGTTATATGTTTATACTCAACATTACAATTACTGTGCAAATTCCAGTACAGCTGAAAAAATCCAAAACCACAATCTTCACAATTACACAATCTGTAAAACTGTATTTGATAAACATCTATCCTATGATATTTTTGGAGATTATTAAGTTTAATTTAAATCATAATAAAGGCAACATTATGTTGCTGTTAAACTATAGTGACTGGGTCTTAGTGTGTCTGTGTGTCGCTGATTGTTATGGTATATGTTTGTGTACATCCGCGTGTATACCCTGCGTATATGGATGCCTAGAGACAGGGTCTGTTAACATACATACGTGCATGTACACATACATGTACACATGTGAATCTGTGGATACTGTATCCCGATCTCCTCAGTTACTTTACGAGCGTTTGGTCACATTTAACAAGACAGTACTTTTTACTGCTTCAAATAAAAAAAAAACGCAAATGCAAGCGCCGATCTACAAACTCTACGTATTGTACCTGCACTGGTTATAACTGAGATCTTCATGGGATTAATGCTGGGATACATTTACTGAGTTTGTTAAACTTATTAGATTGATTATATTTATATCAAATTCAATGAAGTCACAACTGTAAACTGTGAGAAACTGCATCAGAATCAACGCAACAATATGTGACACATTACTCTAAAAATATCTTCACCTTTCGATGTCATTAATCACGCTGTCTGACACTTAATGACCAGGATGTAGACGTAGTTGTTCATGTAAATCTGAGCCGTTAGAGTCCCATAAAGCTTCAGTACTTAATTCATTGAAATGCTATTAACCCCTTGAAGACTTCTGGCCCAACGACCAACCTGCTGGTCCGAGGTGAGAGGTCTGACCAATGTTGTGACTTACTCTCACGCCACATCCTCCACCAACACTCTAATATTAGCTCATCGGGTATCTCTCTGGTAGAAATGACCTAAACAGGTTCATGCAGCTGCACATATAGAAAGATTGATTGATTGATTGTCCTCTGTTGACCCTTGAAGTGAAGGAATAACATTAAACGACTCACAGTTTTTATGTAAGTGTTTTTCCTCTGTGCAATTTTTTTAATATATAATCGTGCATACATGTAAATGCTGTACTATGCAAAATTATTTTAATATTTTTGATTGGATTTTTTATTATTTTGTGTTTTTAATAAAATATGAGTTGCGTGAACAAAATTAAAATAACCTGCAGCTCTGAGTCCAAATTAAAAACTGGATTAACAAAAACTGGACCAGATGCCCCATGGACCAGAAAATCGGCCTCCTCGGGTCGTATTAACTTTTCAGTCAGTCCACAAGATATGAATATTCTGGGTAGAGAAAAATGTCCACGTGCTTTCCGATTATTAACCGTTTCAAAAGATGTTTGAGTTTTTTAATAGTACACACACTATTTTTCATTATTAAAAATAAACATAATTGTCCTTTAAAAGTTCTCAGAAATTTTTCAACATTATTGCATCTGTAATTTTCTATGGTTTCCGTCTTGATCAGTCTTTTCATTAAGTCTAAATGTAGTTTTATCTTCGTTTGCTCCAATGAATCTGATCCATTCTCCTCTCGTTCCACCTGCTGCTCCCATAGGCGTCCTTCACAAGCAAACAAACAGGAATGCATGAGCACAGGTGGCGAAATGTATGCACGCACACACACACTCAAATTAAAAGTCAGTCTTGGACACATACACACACACGTGTGCGCGCTCATACAAATGAGACCAAAGAATCACACACTGACCTGGGATCTAATTTTAGCGGTGCCATATCATGGAAACACCTGACTGTGTCTGTTAAGAGGAACACATCATTTTGTCATGCGTTGTATCTGCATTTATCACACTAGTTATAAATAAATATATTTATAGTTATTTAGGATGTGTATAAGAAACTTTTTTCATTTGTCTAACATATAAATAGGTTACCACCATGGTCTAATCATTTGTCTTGTGTTAACAACATAATTGCACTTCGGAGTTTATATTTAACATTAAACTTTATGTTGTGTTATCAGTTTGTTCTTGACAATGGAGCGCGACATTCAGCATTAAATCAAGAGGAAATTAATAAGGCATCTTAATTGAATTAGAGGAGAATATTTCGGTAATGAGAATGTAATGTTCGCTGAGCTGCTTGTTGATGTGGGACAGTAGACGTGCCGATTCAGGCCTTTTACATTTAGTCTTCAACAACTCACTCATTGAAACTTCATGGTGGTGATTTTAAAGTGCCAGAGTATGTTAGGATTCAACCGATTCATGATATTTGATATGTAACTGACACATTTTTTCTGTTTGCCAAAAAAAATTTTCTATGTCAGAAATAGTAAACTGAGTTTTAATATGTAAGTCTTAATACCATTATTAGTGAAAAACTACTTTACGTTTCGGTTCCTCTGTGTGAGTGGACAAAGTTTGCTGCTTCCTGCTCACATTTCTGCGCCTACGTTGCGTGGTCTTGGTAAAAACATTTCACTCTGGTGTGATCCATCCTGTATTAAAGTTTGATAATAGTCCGGGGACCGTTGACTGGGAACTTAGCGAATGGAGGGAGCAGGTGGTGGGACGATGAACATTGTGTTGCTTTCACACAAAAAAAAAAAATATGTTGCTTTGTTCCAACTTTTCTTTCACAACCAGTTTTGAGTTTGAGGAAAAATCACCAGAGTTAAAAAAACAATTTAAAACGCACTATACTCGCCGCTGCATTTAGTCACGACACTTTTCCAAGTGTTCAGACTGTCATGTTTATTAATGGCGGTGGCTGCTGCATATGGGGTTCCAGCCCCGGCTCAGTGGTAGAGTGGTGCTGTGTGACAGCATGAGAGGAGGACTAACTTCATTAGATGTCTTGACCCCCTCTTGATATAGATATATCCTTTAGGCAGCCTGTCAAGGACTCTGAATTCATCAGGATGTAGATGGAAGCATTTTTTTGCTGCCACTATTCAATCAAAATATGAAAGTGACTCAGACTGAGCACAAGCAGGAGAGGAGACTTCTTCCAATGAGTTGGTTTTATTGATCAAATGAAATTAACACACACACACACACACACACACACACACACACACAGAGAGAGAGAAGCAGTTTGTCTAATCACGGAGTGTGGGTCAGCCAGCATGTTTAATTTAATGGTCCTCGTCGCAGCTTCACAACGTCTCACATTGTGAACTTAATTCCTCTTCAGCACCTTAATTTGCATTGTGTCAATTGACTGGAGTGCTTACTGTATCAGCTTGAGTCTCACTTGAAATTCAGCCCATGCCCTAATACCATTAGGCAAATGCAAAGTTGTGTCATTTACACATTTGGCCCAAAAAAAAAAGAAAGAGGGGAGAGAGAGAGAAAAGCCAATTTGCGCTGGACAAGACTGGCTTGTGATTATCAGTGGATGTTATTACTGTGGAGAGGCAGACGTTTGAAGGTTATGTTTCTGGGCAGTAATTGAAATGCAAAATAACATTAGGATCGATGGCCATCTCTGTTTATTTATGAAATCAATATCGTAACTGTCCCTCATGAGTCCCCCTCTGATTCCCAATGACGGCTTAAGTCTCTGCTCGTTTATTCTTTCTGCCCCCCCCCATAACCTCCTTCTTCTTCTGTCTCTTTTTAAAAGGCAGTTAGGGGAGTGTTTGACTTTGCAGAGAGAGCAGTTTCCTGGAGGTGGTGGTGGACCAGTATGTAGATGGTGGGGGGTTGATACTCCAGGTAGGAGACATCATCCATGTGGGAAATCTATGCAATCTCCTCTTGTGGCAGTGACATTGAAGAGGCCATGTAGTAGAGGCTCTGTGTACAAGTGTGTGTCTGGCGTGTGTGTGTGTGTGCGTGTGCGTGAGTGTTTCTGGGCAGAAACAAAATATGTCTATGCAGTAAAAACGTTTCATTTACTCATGGGTGGTTATTTTCAAAGAATAGATTTAGTACAAAAGTAAAAATGTCATTGTCAAAATAAAATTCACAAAGAGAATAGATTTTTATTTCCCACCTTTAAGGCACAAAGCTCTGACATAGGTCCTCTTTGAGCTTTTGACTGTATCTCATGGTCTTCTTCAATAAATAGAATCTCCTCAGGCAGAGGACCGCATAGTTAGAGTAACTTCCATAATAAAATCATAAAACATAAATGATAACTTTTGAAAAGCTTCATTTAAATTTAAATTAATCAATTAGTTACCAAATAGAAAATCAGTCAGTCAACATCTGTAAAGCATAAATTGATTTGATAATGATAATAAGCTGAATATCTCAACACATCTTATGTAAATGTTGCTTTGGTGTCTGGTAACTTTTTTGGATATTTTATTGAGCAAATTAATCAATAAAATAATCTGCAGATTATTCAACAGTGAAAATATGAATTAGTTGTCTAAGAAAAGGAACATTTATTTAGCAGGCTGGTAAAACATGATCGCACAGAGAGTTAAACGGACGAGATAAAAAACAGCATCTTCTGATCCAGTTAACACTGATCAGCAGAGAAAAGAGCGAAGATGCAAACAAATTAGAAAAAATGACTTCATAGGTTGTAACCAGAATCGTAAATGTAAAATTTTAATTCACGGTTGAGAGGTTCAAGACCAAAACTTCAGGTTTTGAGCCCAAATTGAAAACACATCTTTCAGAATTTACTAAATCTGCTTCTTTTCTATCATAAAATCAACATTTACCTTCACGTTCCTCCAAAATATATTTTAACTAATGTCTCTTCTCTAAAAAAGCCAACGACATCATCCACAGCCGCGAATGAATCCTGCATTTAAATTGCAGAACACACACAATTTTTGATGACCTTCATTTGTGCTAACGCTGTGCCACGCGCGTGTTGTTGTTACTACTTAACACTTGGGCGACACGCGCTACCCCATTTTCCCGCTCGCGTGACCATTCATTTCCCAGACACCCCGGCTGCGGACTAACAGTGTAATCTATGTGTCAGGCAGGAAGGGGGCACTCAGTTTAAAGCTGATAGAGTTTGCCCCAAACAAGGACAGCCTATCATAGAAAGATTAATGAACTAATTTCATGCATGGCTCCTTGCCTCTGTCCTTCTGCGCTTCCATGTTCGACTGTGTGTTCAGCACCGTGATTTACGCCCTGCTCCTCGCTACAAGCTTAACCCCGAGCTTAACAATAATATTTCCCCTCAGAGGGAAAATACACGGTAAAATATCTAGATATTTTTTAACCCTTCGCTCAAGTAGAGAAGGATAACAAAAGGTCACTGTGGAGGATTGTTTTGAGTACGCGTTTCAGTTTTTTTTTTTTTCTGTCCCTCAAGTTAAAATTTATTGTGCTGAAATTCGGAGGCTGGAAAACGTATTTCATGGTTTAGAGAAGAGGTGGATGGATTCAGGATTTATGTAAGGAAGCAGCGGATCTGCAGCACTGCCAGTATGAAGGGGCATGCCAAAACACACACACACACAAACATGTGAGATTTTAAGCTGTTCTAGCGGGAAATTTTTACACTCATCACACTTCAGCTCCAAAATAAATAAAATCAAATAAAAAACAGTGGTCACTGGCATTTCAGGCAGTGTCCTGTTCGTATTAAACATTCTGGACAAGCTCTCTAGTTTTTACATGGAGTTGCGTCTAGACGCTCTCTTTCTTCCTGTGTGTGTGTGTGTGTGTGTGTGTGTGTGTGGGCCTCAAAGAACAGCAGAACAGAGAAGGCAGGTGACCTTCACGTCTGTCTGATGAGTCTTGCTTGTCTGCTCGGTTTGTACCATTTTTCTGCGCAGCGGAGCAAACACCACCCCATTAGACACAAGGTACAACACATTTGTGTGTGTTTGAGGGTGCGTGTGTGTGTGTGTGTGTTGCCAAGGTAGCCGGGCGGGTTGTGGAGAGTCAGACTACACTTAGGAAACTGTCTCTTCATAATAAGAGGGGGAAACCAAATTATGAAACTATGAAGCTATTTCTGTCTGTACGAATCGGCGGTGGGTGCCATTATTTCATTTCGACAGATTTGAAAGGACCTATTAGAAATTTCCATTAAACCTTCACGAAAAAACATCTCCCCAGCGTTACTGTGTGCTAAGTGTGGAATGAACTACTTTTTACATATGCCACAACGCACTATTCCTGTGGGAATCCCCCTCTATCTGGCTGTGATGATGTATTAACTGTTAGCACGCCGCTCTCTCTCCACTTCCCTCAGACGGGAGGAAATATACCCTCCAGTTGACTATAGGTGCACGCTGGCTGCTGGCTGCTAACAAGATTTAACACAAGTCCCGTGAATCTTTTATAAACCGCAACCACCACAAAACGAAGACTAACGTTATGTTTTATCGCTCCATCTCACACTATGTTAACAGTCCGGGCTGATTAAAAATGCATAAGGAATGTCTGGGACCTGTAACAGGAGGGTTGATTTTTTTCAAGCCTCATCTGGAACAGGAAGGAAGCAGAGGATCAATAGATCTGATCTGGGCCCAGGGGTAGAGGCTATCTGCTCCCTCCCTCCCCCGCCTTCCTCCGCTACCCGTTAGCAGTTAAAAGAGAGGTTTCATGTTGTCAAGGCCTGATGACTTCATGGCTTTATATAAACACTTATTCAAAGAGGGGGACGGTGGGAAAATACACTTCTAACCACAACAAAAAAAAAGGAAGAAAAATGTTAAGGCCTGCCTCGGCAGCAAATTGACAAAAAGTTCAGAGAAATCCGGCCAGCATTGGCTTCCTGTTTCAGACAAGGCTGCTTAACTTGGCTTTCCACAGCTTTCACACAATATTTACTAGCACGTAGCCTGAAGTTGTGTAACAGCAGCAGTGACGGACGGAGCCAGCAGTTTGAACACAGACCCAAGACTCGTGAATGCTCGAGAGGCTGATATTGAAGCCCCTGCAAACACCACGACTTACAAAACATGACAGATAAAGAACATTTGCATTGTCTTTTTGCTCAAAAAATTAAATTTGCAATTAAAAAATCATTTTCTCAAGTTTTTTAGCATATAAGCAATAAAATCAGGTCCTTCAGATTCTTTGTTCACCTTCAAATGGTCATATTTAGACATAATTTATGGGGCCTCACGCAGTTTTTTGTGGTTTTGCTCTTTCTATTCCAGTCAAGTCAGATTTATTTATTCTTTTTAAAGCTCAATATCAAACATGTATTTGAGAAAGCACCATGCAGCAACAACACGCTTCAGCCGTAGGCTCACAAAAGAGAAGAAAATACACGTCATGTATGCAGTAAAAACTTTCTTCAAATCTTTTGACTCGTTGCCTACACTTTATAATGAAATGCAGGATTATGGAACTTAATCTCAGTCTTCCTCTGCCTCCATTATCTCACTTACGTCCATCGTAACCCGGCACCGTCCACTGGCAAACCAACCAGCGCTATTGATTGGGTCATGTATTACCCATGATCCTCCATATGCTGAGTACAACGCCTCTCTCTGTCCATTAACAGTCTTCTGAAGTTTCATTCATTCACTTAGCCCTGGCAGCCGACCCATTGTGGGCATTGTTTCGCAGAGATGTATGGGGCATCTGTTGACATGGTCATTAGTTACCATTTTGCCGGAGAGAAATAAGCTACTGTAGTATATCACTTGGCATTCCAACACATTAATGGTTGCGTCTGTAACATAATCTATCAAACTGGGGATGAACCTGGTGCGCTCCATCACAGCTGATGAATCTCTTGCCGGGTAATCAGGCGATGATGGAAGAAAGCAGCGTTCAGTACATCTTGTCAGGCTTGTTAGTGGGAGTATTATCACTGATGCTGCAGGTTTATGATTCCTATTGACTCTCACGTGAGGTTCTCAGTTCCTCGGTTCTAATGTTGATCATTTTAGAGATAAAGAAAAGTGTTTCTTACCAGGTTTTGAGGGTAAAATGGAAACCAGCCTCTGACACATCCCAGAGTTTGATTTGTTTCTGTGTGCTTACCAGGTTGCCCAACATTTTATAACGAAACAATATGTAGCCCTTTCGAAATTTTACAGTGGTTCCGCTGCTCCGAACCGAAACTGACTGTCCCTGTGTGTGTGTTTATCCAGGTTGCTAACCAGAATGCCATCTGAGGACCGACATCTGTCCTCGAGCTGTGGTTCTTACGTCAAAACCGAGCCCTCCAGTCCTTCCTCCTCACTCGTCGACACCGGCAGCCACCACAGTCCCAGTGGCAACTCCGACGCTAGCGGCGGCTACATCAACAGCAGTGGTGGACGCTCGCACGCCCTGGACTCCCCGCCAATGTTCAACCCGGGCATGCTGGGAGGCGGCAGCGCCTGCCTACGCCGCTACGAGGAGTGCTCCGGCAGCATGGCGGACGACTCGCCAATCAAATGCGAGTACATGCTCAATGCCATTCCCAAGAGGCTGTGCCTGGTGTGCGGCGACATTGCCTCAGGGTACCACTATGGGGTGGCCTCCTGCGAGGCCTGCAAAGCCTTTTTCAAAAGGACGATACAAGGTATTTCTCACTTTCCTTTTCATTTCTCTTTGACTCACCTGAGCTCGTTTCCAGTTTCTTTATGCTCTCAGTTACTCCTGGGAACACTGTGTTTTCCGTCATTCCGCTGGTGGTTGAATATTTAGAGGTCTTACCTGTTAAACCCAGCTGTACGTTCACTACTGTCACAATGCAAAAGATAATTTTTTTGTAATGAATCACACCTTTTATGAGGTTTACCATGAGAGTTGTCATTACCAGAACAGCGAATTGACCCGGTGAGGAATCCGTTATCATGTGTCCCACATGTGCCTCAGTGCTGGTATCACAGTGCAGTGATTACAAGTGTCTGCAGCAGACATTAGACCCAGACTGTAAATCCGCTCTGGGTTTTGCGTTTTGCGGTTTTTTTAATGCATGTTCTTTTGACTCATGTGTCTCTCTGGCATGGCCTCTGCCATGTGCTGGAGCTGTTCCATGATAATCGCTTGGATGGAGACGATTTGCCAAAAAATGAGAGGCAGAATTTTTATTATCCGCAGCATTTCTGTCTGTGACATAATTTCAGATTAATGCACAAAGATTTTGGAAAAAGTTCAAAAAAAGTTTTCTGTCCATACAAATTACCCAAGCATCTTCTTCATTCCCCTTTTGATTTTTATCGACAAAATCATTCTAATGCAATGCTGCTAAAATAAAACTTTTTACAGAGGGGGGTCAGAGGGAAAGAACAGTAACTTTTTATTGAGCTAAATATTTCTTAAAGTGAGACTGGTGTTTTCAAATGCAACTACTCTTCTTCCATCATAGATATTGTTAGATGACAAGCAAATAGACAAAAACACAACATTTTCAGATGTATCCATATTATTGTCATGGGATGAGAGGCTTGTTTGAGGTTCTCGATTAAGCTGAAGTCAAATATTGTATCAGTCAATAAATCAATAAAATTTTATTCCCATAGCCTATATTCACAAATAGACTAAGGTGAGGAGAAACTTAAGAATAACTTTTAACAGGGGAAATGTTATCATTTTATAATAAGACAAAACGTGATGCTGAAAATGTTTTTGTGACACTGAAAAAAGCATAAAAACTGCTGTAACAATTTTACTAAATTGCTCAAAAGTTCTGTCCGATATTTCTTTGCTTTTCTGTTCAAAACATTTGAAGGCACAGATCTAAACTTTCAGCCCAACGTTTGTGTTTAGTCACTTTTTATTACCAGTTTGTGTTTCATTATTTGGCCGCACGTGTCCAAATCTGACCAGCAACACGGTGCGGACTGTAAATAGTCCTCATGTGTGACTTTGTGTTGCTCCGTGTCCTCTTTTCTCTTCTCCCTCTCTTTCTCTCGCCCTCTCTTCGTGGAGGACGGGCCCGTAATGAACCTAATCTGTCCGTCATTCGTCCTGAGCCACGGGAGTTTCAGTCAATAACAATCAGTGTTGGGTGACTGTAATTAAGAACCAGGCATTTCATTGGGAGAAAGTCAAGAGAGGAGGGTGGGAGGTGCAGATCTGTTCTTAGCCCCCGGGCCCCTCCACCCAAGGGGGGGAGTAGATGGGAGATGGTGGGGGGCCAATTAGAAGCTCAGGCACGTGTTTGTCGGGGCAATAACAGAGGAAGGGAAGAGAGGAGAGAGACGCAGAGGAGTCCTCTAAATAAAAGGCTGAGGGACAAGGGACAAGGGACATGGTCATTCACTGAAAGAAGAAGCTGCTTTAATGGAATGGTAATCAGGAAGGGGGGTCCCGGCCTCGCTAAAGGAGGAGGACAAGGAGAGGTCCAGCTTGAGTGGAGATGAGCATGTGGATAATAGCATGGCATAATAATATATCAAAATTTAGAGGGAAAATAAGAGAGGTTAAGGAAGGATATTAGAGTGGTTGAAATGTCCTTTGAGGAATAAAGGTGGACACAAGACCTGATTAACTAAGAGGGTATGCCGACAGTGAGCTTTTAGAGGTAGGCAATTTAAGACTATTCTGGTGCTACCCCACCTTAACACACACGCACACACACACACACACACACACAC